TGCCGAAGTGATGACTTTCGCATTGGAGGTGAACCATTTTTGATAGTCAAGAGTAATTTCATTATTTTACGCTCCTTTGCTTCCTCTGGAGAAAGACTGTCTTCATCCACATCTACTAGCAATTTGTCAAAGTATTGTGCATCTTCCGGTTTCATAAATGGCAAATTTTGACCTTTCGGTTGATTGTCCATGAATTTGGCATTCTTATCTTCAACTTGAATAAAGAATCCAGCGGGTGTGCCCGCTATCGGTGTTGGTGTTGCCATCAATTTACGTCCAGGTGTGCGCAGTGGCACGTAGCCAGCAGGAGGCGGTAATATTTTATAACCTGGTGGAAACATTTGATCAAGTTCTTCATCTGTGAGGGGTCGATTACGTTCATCGATTTCTTTTTCCCAGCGATATGCCTGAAGTTGTTCTGGTGTCATAGCGGCCAATGCACCCGGAGTTGGAGTGGCCATGGCCATTGCCTTGACGCCAATGGGTGTGGTGCCGCCGGGCGTTAAGAGTGGAGTTATATGCCCTGGCGTAGCATGAGGAGTCATAGTTGGTGTGAGGCTCGGAGTCATAGCCGAAGATGGTGTCATTGAAGGTGTGGCATTCGATGGCGTCTCATCCCAACGCGATCTACGTTTTGAAGCTCCCGGCGTAGATTCGGCGACAACATTGTCACTTGTACCACGATCTGGTTTTGGTGTCTCGGCCCAACCGCTGTGGCCAGGAGTTTCGCGCTCTGTTTTCGGAGTTTCGTCCCAACGATTACGTCGTGCTGATTTTTCGTGACCTGGCGTCTCATGGCTCGGTGTCATTGGATGTGCAGGTGTTGCATCCCAAATGCGTGTTCCGAGACCAGGCGTAGCACCCGGTGTTTCGCTGCCTTTATGACCTGGCGTTTCATCCCAACGATGATCGCCGGGAGTTTTCTGAACATATGAAAATACATATATATTTGTGTCTATAAAATACCTACATATATTAAAAATCTTACATCTTCCCAAGTAGGTGTTGCCGCACTACTAGGAGTTGTTGCCGCTTTAGCGGGCACAAAGCTTTCGCTCACTGTTTGATCCCAACGACCACGTTTTCGTGTAGTAGTCTCTTTTGCAACCTCCCCATTTGAAGATTTTATCAAAGTGCCGTCCTTGGATTTTTCTTGTATTTTTCTGCGAAGCTGTTTTCGAAAATTATTAAGTATCAAATTATATTAGTAAGTATTTTTTCTTTTCTTTCTTGATAGTAGTAATTACCTCATTTTCTTCTCCTTTGAGCAACTGTTCACGCATAATATCCGGATATGTTCTTGATCCGATGTCAGGAGTCTTTCCACCTAAAAAGGTCATGTAGTCAAATAAATTTCTTACGAATATATACTACATAAGCATATATGTTTTAATTGCACTTACCATCAGCAAACGGATCCGCTCGCTCGGGTGATATAATAATGCGGCGTCTCTTTTGCCTATATTCATCTTCCCTATCCGCTATTGTTGGGCGGCGCCTCTCAGCCATAGGATCAACATCTTCCTTACCCTGTGTAACATCTTTTAACACAGATGTAGGTGCCGTGTAAGTCGTACGCTTTTGTGGCACTGGGAATCCTTCGTCTTCATCTTCATCCATTTCATCATTAGCAGCAATGGATGTATTATATCCTTCATAGCGACGTTTGCCTTTACCGCCGGCCTCGTCGTACAAATCAGTGTCATAGAAACCTCCACTGTCCAATAATCCAACGCCAGTTGTGGTACTTTTTTGGATTTCTTTTTTCTTAGTTTGAATGTCGGCAATCTGTGCCTCAATATCTGTAATATGAAAAAAAAACACAATTTAGTTGCATGATGAGAAGCCAAATCAATAAGGGGGTGCGGTAATGCTATAACTTACTAAATTTAAAACTATTCAAAGAAACTATTTCATGCACGTGTATGGAGGAGATTATTGAATATTTGATAACAATTAACTTACCTTCGTGAGTACGCGGAATATTTTCCATTTTCTAAAAACGTTGACTATACGCAGACAAAATATGGAACAAATCAAGGCGAATTTATATAAATTCGCCTCGGAATCAAATCAAGGCGAATTGATACAAGCAGTGTGGCCGCGGGTACTGAAAAATTTAGCCAAGGCGGTTTTATATATAAATGTATAAATTCGCCTTGATTTTGACATTAAGAAATACCGTGGCGAAAATAAATACGCCATCAACACCACCTTCTATAAATTCGCCTTGCAAGGTATGAATAGGTTTGTTCGTCGAGCAAAAAGTTTGTACGAATTTGTACGAATTATCACGATTTTTGCCCAAATCGCGTTCGTGCAGACCAAAAAATTATCCAACACTCAAAAATTGTGAGAGCAAAGTGACAGTTCTGTTGGAGAGAAGTTGCAAATTCTTGCTGGAAAAAATTTTGCCAGCAAGAATTTGCAAACACGAAAAACATGTGGTTGTGGCGCATGGCTGCATTTTTGTCTACAATAATTTGAATAATTAGTTCGTTAAATTTAAAAATTTATAAACACGAGCGATTTTTTTATGAAAAAAGGAAGTAAATAATTGTTGATATAATTAATTTAGTTAATTCCAATGATTTGAACTTGATTCGGCTGAAAAAAATGGTATTCGCAATCGGAATGCAATTGCAACCAGAGCCGATTTAAGAAACCCGACAGCTAGTACGATGAAGAAATTGAAATATATGTTAAAGAAAGTCAGAACAACAAGAAATATACATGTATATCCTGTTTTTGGCCATCCGAAAGAATTTTAAAAATTCTATAAAAATTTTTTATGTTTGAAATGCAACCGTGGACGCCAGCTGGCAGCGAAACTTGCAAATTCCTGCAAATTTGCGTTCGTGCAGAAATTTGCAAGTTTCTCAACATGAGAGAGAATTTGAGAGAATTTTTTCTTACTCTCTGATATTTTGAGTGTTGGATAATTCTTGCTGGATTTTCGACGAACAAACCTAATGTCGACTGGCGACCAACTTTGTTGGTAGCGATTAGCTGAAAGACCGTTCAACCAAAAGTAGAATGCAAAGTTGAACAATGCAAACACCTCTTTATGGCGAAAATTTTGGGGCAGTAAGTTTTATGATTTTTAACACCAACGTAATTTTGAAACTCGGAAAATTCGTCCTCCTTTTAGCACTATGTGCGAGGAAATTGTAAACATCTCTGACGTAATTTAAGAAAAACAGGCAAGAAAAAATCGCAAAAAACGCAGAATTATGAAAAATTGGGTTGTGTTTGGATATTTTAGTAAATAATATGAAATTCACGCCAAGCGACACTTACGGACGCCTACTTACACAACAATTTGACAACTAAACTAATACATATTTTCAATTGTCTTGTCTCAAATTGCCTTATGTAAACGCAGCATAAGCAAATATATCCTAACCACAGTTGCAATTAAGAGTAGAACATATTAGATTTTGCAAAATGCAACATTTAGCACTTTCGAACATATTTTTTCGAAGAGCGTTTGCGCTATCACATTTAAAAGGGGTTCGCACGCGCCGATTTTGCGTTCAACTCACGCAGGGTTGCACGAAAAAAAAGCTGCTTGGGTAAATATTGGCTGGCGACCAACTTTGTTGAAAGCGATTAGTTGAAAGGCCGTTCAACCAAAAGTAGAATGCAAAGTTGAACAATGCAAACGCCTTTTTCTGGCGAATATTTTGATATTTTTAGCCATTCAATTTTTTTTTGTGCAACCCTGCCGCTAAGTCAGATCAGTGTCTATCACGATCAATTCGCACAGAGAAGATAATGTGCAAAAAATCCCACTGAGAGGGAAATAAGAAATTTTAAACAACAAATTCAATACAAAAACTTGAATTGTTTTAACCATAACCGAAAATTCGTTTTGTATATATTCATTTGTCGGTGCTGTCAATTGAAATTTCCTCAATTAAATAGGAACAAAAAACAAACAGAGCTGATCACAAATTGAGCCAGATTTCTATCAGTGTCACATCGATATTGAATTTGCCCAACTTTCCTTTTTCCAAATAATGTAAAGTAATAAATGAAATCTCGATCGGCGATCACTGAAACGCAGTTAGCAACTGTATACATTACTGCCACTTTTTCTCATTATTAAACCATGTTCGAATCTTGGAAATTTTTGAAAATCACAGGATACAGCGCGTTTACATTGGGCAATGCTCTCAAGACAATGAAGATATACGTATTAGTTGTCAAAAACACATGCATGGAAAAGTATTAGTGAAAAAGTGTGCATGTGTTGCTATTGTCATGACAGTATTGTCCGGTGTAAACCCTAAGTTAATTCAGAAATGGAGTAGCATTTAGGTGCCGAATTTTGTATGGATAAATGTACATGTACACAACACCTTTTAAAGTGCTTTAATGAATAATTTGTCCTAAATCATTTTGGCACTTTTTTATCCTCAATATCCGCTGATTTTACGGCGAATTTGTACCTTTTGTCAAAATGATGTGTTTGTTGTAATTTGGTTTTGTACTGATTGTTATACCTTGATTATAATGCACGGGCGCATCGTAACAAATTGCGGCGTATGTTAAGGATCTATTGATTTTGGATGCTTCCGTTTTACATTGCGTTCAAGTGCATTATAATCGTTGGAATTCATTGCCCATACAATAGATAATTAAGTTACAGTTCACTCCGTTCCGTTACTTCCATTATAATCCAGGCATCAATGTGCGTATAATTTATTATGCCTTGGTTATAATGGACGAGGCGAATCGTAACAAATCACGGCGAATTCGTAAGGATCTTTGATTTTAGATTGTTCCGTTTTACGTTACGTTTACGTGCATTATAACCATTTGCATTCATTTCCCATACAATAGATAATTAAGTGAAAGTTCACTCCGTTCCGTTACTTCCATTATAACCCAGGCATTATTGTAGTGTTTGCTTTTGTTCTGTTAACACCACCTTGTTTAAATTCGCCTTGATATGGCACCTCATGCTAAGGTGAGTTGGCAGCCCTGAGTACAAAGCATCGGTTTTATTCGGTATATCGAATGGTGTGCATCGATGTTTTTCTTACATTCCTGAATTAGACATCTTCCGAAAATTTTCCGGCTAGAATCCACGATGGTGAGTGTATCGAGGTATTTAGTATTTATTTTTCTGGCTATTCAAGCTTCGAATGCGATTTTGGATTCTGATGCGAATACCTTAGTCTTACTTGATAATTTGGCAATTCGTGAGACACATTCTATATTCTTCAAATCATTGCAAGGTAATCCCGAATCAAATCTTTAGTGACGTGGTCATAACAAAAGTACGTGCATTTTCTTCAACAGATCGCGGCTTTAAGCTAGTTTATAAATTGGCTGATGATTCTGGCTTAGTCCTTTCACGTTATGGTGAATATATCTACAAAAATGTTATTGTATTTGCACCAAGTGTTGAGGAGTTCGGTGGCGATCTTAGCGTAGAAAAGCTCACTGAATTCGTTGACGATGGTGGCAATG